ATATCACCAACCATTCCCATGTTATTACGGTGTATCCATATAAATGGCCCACCCTGTACTATTCCGGAAAGCCTAATTTCATTATTCCATTGCTTTATTTTCAGTCAGTGAATTGCTCAATTCTTTTTGCTATTTCCTGTTTCTTTACATGGCTCGTTAATGTTTAATCCAATCCAGTTTTATTGAATAACTATTGCACAATCGAGTATGTGCTTATATCTGTGCTCTGCGCTAGAATTCACTAAAGACAGATGTTTGAATATGCTATATGTTTGCTCAAAATGTGGATTAAGTGTGTCTTTATGATGAAATCATGTAAGCTAAGCACACACCTGTCTCATAAGAAAATCCACAAGCCCCCTAACTGTATTTCATTGCCGAGACGCATAAGCCAAATGAATATAAATGCTGTAAACATTTCCCACACTCAGTGCAAACCACATCATTTGAAAACAATTTTTATCATTAATTTTAAGTTGAATACTTTCGCATAAATATTAAATGGCCCCTGGAGCGTGGAGGTGATGAAAAGCAGATCATCTCAGCTACACTGAGTCATATGTGAAATGCTTTATATTAGAGACGGAGCACAATTAAACGTTATACACAAAAACAGATCTAGCTTCATATTTAAAAACTAGTTCTTGTAAGCCCTAAACTGCTGACTGACATCATAGCTTTGATGTTAACGTTTTTGATGTTAAATAACATGAGATTACTCATTTCATACAACAAAATGAAATATGTGCTTTCTTCAGCGTGAATAAGAAATATAATCCTTTCAAACTGAAACTTACAATAATTGGAACAGTTCCTTAAGGGTGCTCTATTTTTAAAGAAAGCCAGTCACAATATCACAAGACTATATTTATCAGTGATACTTATATTTAGAAGTTTCTGAGCACAAACAAGAAAGAGAAGTGTTTTGGGGCATTTTGGAGAGGGGTCAAATGCATCATCCACCTGCAAGCTCTGTTCTGTTCTGTGCAGCTGAGTTCTTAATCAGCGTGTGGATACGCCCGTCTGGAATATGACTTTTGACCCCTGAGCCCTGGCCTCCTGACAGGCAACCCCTTGACCTTGCAGTCAAGCAGCTGGGCAGGTTCTGCACAGGCACACAAGGGCACAAATGGTGAGCGGTGTGCGCCATCATCCCCCCACCGTTAATGTTTTGCTATCACCGAATCTAATGGCTCGCTCTCTAAATTACCTGTAATGGTGGTTTTGGTCTGTTTCTGAGCGTTTCAGCACGCACAAAGGAGGATAAAAATGCGCAAATTTACTCATCACTACTAAAACATGTGGGAAATATTAGATGGTGGCTAATTGTATTGGACAACTACTTCTTGGACTGATTTCTTCCACACATGATGCTTGTAAATAGACAGCGAGGAAAAAGGTTGAGTCATTAGATGATTACTGAAATTGTTTTAGAATGCATTCCTATCAACTGAATTATCAGCTTTGCTGTAAAACCATCACTTGAAAAATGTCGGTAATTCTAGTTGATGTCTTTAACTCCAAGTCCAGAATCAAAAGATTCTATCTATGCACTTTCTGAACTGCTTATACTGAATTAGACAAGTGATTAAAAAAAAAGATTCTGTCACTCAATTAGTGTTTAAAGAATTTTAAAAAATACTCGCTCCTTTAAGAAAGTTAGATAGCACAAAGTTGTAAAACTCCTAAACATTATTCCGCTCCTATTCTGCCCACGTCACTTTCAAAAATCCAAATTCCAGCTTTCACCTATGAAACCCCTCCGGCAACCTGCCTACCCTTCACCCCACTTTCAACAAAGGAGAAAGAACACACACACTAACACACACACGCACATACATCCCTAAGCAGCTGCGTCATTATAAAACTCTTTTGAACTTCACACTGGAAGTCAAATGCCACATGTGTCAGTACAAGACAGATGTACTGCAGCTGCCTCTTGGCTCCAATTTCATCTGTGATACCAGCCCTCTCCACTGCCTGTCTCCCCCTTACCCATTTCCAAAAAACTACCACCCCTTCCTTCACCAGCAACCTCACCACAAGCCCTCTTCCTCCCATCATGCACTGATAAAATCACCAGCACCTTTGAAGTATCATCACTAAATCAGGGCATCTCGCGGCGCACACAAATAATTATGCATAATAGGTTTCCACATTCAAACATGGGGACAATTAATTTTTGTCCTTTTTTAACATCGACAGGAAATTCCACTACAAATTTCCCGTGGGATCTTTTATTTATTTCAACCATTAAAAACACAAAAACTACACAAGTCTGCAGCGAAATTCAGTAAAAACATTATCTTTATTAAAATATTTCAGTTCATGAAATTCAGTTGGCTTGCTTGATGCCGTATCATAAGTAAAAACTTGTGCAGACACTGGATTCAATTTGTCAAACTCCAACCTGCAGTGAACAATCTTCACCATTTGGGGTCAATATTGAACTCCCTCGCCCTCCTTTCAGAAAATTTGTCTTCTGTTAACAGCTCTAAATGCTTTCAACTGCCCAGAAAAGTATAGTTGAAGGAGATGTAATATGGAGTATTTCCATATTTTTTTTAGAATCACTGTCAAGCTTTTTAAAATACCACTGTTTGTATTGTAGTAATATTAAAGTGAGTCTAATCAGTTGGATACTTAGAGAGTGTCACACAGAACCTCTACAGTTTCCTCAACATGACTCTGTAAGAGATAAAACTTGGTTCAAGACACACAGCAACAAGTGTCTTGTTGCTGAATTCAGTCCTCTGTGTCCATACAACAGTGAGATGTTAAATTCTTCCAAAAGTTGGGCACCTAGATAGCTGCTTTAAATTTATGACACACTTAAGGTAGGAAACAGCATGAAGTATCCCAAAGAGTGATACAACCCAGGTGGAAGCTACTACTGTGTTGTAGCTCATAAACTTTATGAACATTTTCTGAGCTTTAAACTTGACTGATTCATTTTGAGATTAAAAGAAAAAAGCCTTTAGTCTCTTTTGTTTTGCTTGTGTCTACTTTGACACAAGTTTGAAAATGTCAATGATTCTGAGCAGCACCCAAATCCACATGAATCATTTTTATTCAAAAATAACACATTTCAGTGTTTTCTTTTCCATGGATCTAATTTCCTTTGCTATGAATAAGAAACATTATCAAAACACATTTGGATGGTGAAGTGCAAAAACAAGTGAACAAAAAAAAAAAGCTGTCTTTTCTCTACCAAACTGACACGCTACAAGACTCCTTCACTACATTTTTCCCATCATGATTTGTAGTGATTACTAGCCTTTTGGGTTGTTTTAGATCTTGCATGTGATTTGCAGCTCTGCAGCGTCTGGAAGCACTTCAGCAGACACACATAAGCCCACTGTGTTCAAACCTGGATTGAAACAGGCACTCGGGAGAGACTGCACAGCCCTCAAAGAAAGGCTGGTTTCTTTTCTGGTTTCTTGGCATAACTATCCAATTCAAATTAGATGCAACTGGACTTGTGATTGTAGTATATTAAGCACCAGATACTGCATAAGTATGGTCCTGGCTGTGCGTAGTGATGACGACGGGAATCTTAAAACACAAACTGAAATAGTAAACTAACCTCACCATAGTTAAAATAAACAGTCCTCAGAGCTGACAACGTGCAGTCTCGCCTAAGCATTTCCATGTTGTGAATTAGCTACTGTAACAGCCTAATGTTTGACATGATATAAACACAGAGAAAAGTATATCTTTTTTACAAGAAGCCAGAATGACAGTGAAGTAAGTGAACAATCATACACCCCCACAGTGACATTTAGTAAAACAAAGCTTATTGTACATATTTACAAAAGGAGCTTTTTTGTCTCATAATTGTGAGCCATTGCAGGGACTATTGGGGAATACAACTCATACAAAGTATTTAAACCACAACAGCAAAGGCACGATTCTCCGATTGTTCCCAAATGTGAGGATCACATTTTTATTTTTTACACTGCAAAAATAAAAGGATTTTTTTCCCCCTTCACTGCTCATAAAATGTTAGCATTTATCAGACACCCGGGGCGGTATTTTTCAAAAGACTTACTTCATTGTCTTACATAAAGTGGAAAAGCTCCACTATGAGTAGTTTTAAGTGTTTGAGACAACAAGACTGACATCAGCTGTTTGAGGTCAGACAGTAATTGTGTTTACATACACAATACATAGTCTGACATTACTGGGAAGGCTCCAGTATTTACTGTATGAACTGCCACGCCATATCTTGCGAGGTAAACGTGAATATGATCGATGAAATGGGCTGAGATGAACAAGATATTGAGCCATGTGGACTTCTTACTCTATTTACTGGTTAGATTAGTCAACTGTGGAGTCGTTTTTCTCTGATACTAATAATATTTAAAACATCTTTATTGGAATGTAATCTATTTAGAAAACTAAAATCTCCACAAGAGGGTCAAAGATTTGTTCAGTTTGGATCAGTAAACACTAGAAGGCAGAATTAAAGAAAGATCATTACTATAGATGATTGATTGTGTAAAGAACGGATACTAACATTATAATAGTTTAGTTTAACAAAACCTGCACAATTACTTTTAACACTATATAAACTTATACACAAAAGAATGGGATGCATGTATTATAAATGAGTGGCCTTCACTGTGGTAAGGACACATTTAAATTGAAGATGCATTAGTGAATGTGTCCCATTTGTTTATGTAAACACCAATGCAATGGATTCTGATCACATAGTGTCAGACTTGGAACTTAAGCAACAATTTGCCAGCTCCTCATTAGTATAAACTTGAGATCTATGTTACTTTATACAAATCAGAGGTGCCTGGTGCAATAGCAACTCTGGAGGCTTGGGAAAATTTAACCAAATCGGTAACAAATGAAGACAGATTTTGTTTCAGAGCTCAAACTTTTTCTCAACTTGTTTTTTTCCGGGAAAATATTTTGCGGCTCTTTTTGCAAACAGTGTGTTTGTTTTGGTATGAAATCATTTGTACAATTCTACCTGGTTTCAGAAGAGAATCTATCAAATTATCTGTCATTACAAGGTCTAGTAGCTCGCCCATCTAACATAAAGCTTCACAATAACCCTGCTCTAAAAGCACCTGTGTGGACATTTATGCTAAAATGCAACCCACAACTTTATACGGCTGTATTTTAGAGTTGTTTGTCTCTGTGTGGTTGCATGTGTGTGGTTGCATTCCTGAAATCTTTCATTACTTCATATTTAATACTGTTTGTTCGTATTCCAATCTTTGTGTAAACATGTTGAAATGTCTTCCACTGGGTGCAACAGTGTAAAGTTCCATGAACATCCTGTGTGAAATCTTTTACTAGCAGTTGTTTTGCATGTTTAATTTGTCATAATCTTTTACTATTTGTTCTATTATTATATTTCTGTTTTTTACAAACCCATTTCCCAAAAAAAGTTGGAACACTGTGTAAAATGTAAATTAAAAAAAAATGATTCCACTGATTTGCAAATATCATAAACCCATATTTTATTTAAAATAGAACACTGAAAACATATCACATGTTTAAACTGAGACATCTCATGAAAAATATTCTTTCAAAAGTAAGTGGTACCAAAAAGCCTGTTTTGGGAAAGTTTCCCAACTAATCAGGTATTCTTGGAGTTTCTCAGAAGTAAAGATAGACAGAGATCCACCAACCTGCAAAAATGTGCATCTCCAAATTGTGGAACAATATTAGAATAATGTTCCTTTTAAAAGCGATTGAGTGTAAAGAGTTTAAATGTCATATCATCTACAGTAGATAATATGATCTTGTGATTATATCACAAGTTTCACAAAATCTGGAGAAATCTCTGTGCGCAAAGGATAAGACTGAAAATCACTATTGTATGTCCGTGATAGCTGGGACCTCAACTGGCACTGCATTAAAAACAAACATTAAAAACAGGCATTATTTTCTAAAATGCATGTTAAAGCTCTATCATGCAAAGAAGTAGTTATATGTGAACATGATGCAGAAACTCCATAATCTTCTCTGGGCCAAAGGTTATTTAAATTGGACTAAGGCAAAGTGGAAAGCTGTTCTATGGTCAGATGAGTCCAAATTTCAAATTTTGTTTGGAGAGCAAGTGCTTAACATTCTCCTAACTAAAGAGGGAAGAGACCATCCGCCTTAATAGTGCTCAGTTCAAAGGCCTGCATCTCTGATGGTATAGGGGTGCATTAGTACCCATGGAACTGGCAGCTTGCACCTCTGGAAAGGCATCATTAGTGTTCAAAGGTAGATGATATCTTGTTCAGGGAAAATCATGCATACATTTCGGCAAAACAATGCTAAACTGCATGATGAATCTTTTATAACAGCATGGCTTCATAGTATAAGAGTCTGGGTGCTGAACTGGCCTGCTTGCAGTCCAGACCTTCCACTAACTGAACATTTGGTGCGGTTGGTGAAACAGAAAAAATGACAAAGAAGACCAAAGTCTGCTGAGGAGCTAGAATCCTATATCAGACAAAAAATGGGACAGGATTCCTCTCCCAAAAGTCCGACAACTGGATTGGAACAGAGGATTCTACACAGTGGTAAATATGGCCTTGTCTCAATTAATGTGAGATACGTTGCTACCATTAAATTCCAAATGAGCTTTTTCCCAGAAAATGGTACATTTTCATTTGTAAATAAAATATGGGATTATGAGATTTGCAAATCTTTGCATGCTGTTTGTATTTACATTTTACACAGCATCCCAACTTTTTGGGATTTGTTGTTGTAAATTCTCTTTTTTTTGATACTACAGAATGTGAAAATAAATTATGAATAGTGAAGAAGAGTGTTTTTGCAATGTTTTGGGGTTGTAGAACAAGTAATCGGGTAAAAAAAAAAAAAAGTGACATCCACTGTCCGACACCGGTGCGTGCATGACACTTGACAAAAACCAGATATGCAAAATGTTAATGTATCAAGAAGGTTTTGTGCAGGATTCACGCAGCTAATTCTGTGCTGATGATCCATAGACTCAACTCACAGTTTAATTCCGATGCATGCCACTCACATAATTGTTGCTTCTTCACATAGAACATTACACATTTGTTTTAGTTGTTCTAGACTGACTTGTAGAGTGCGTTTTAAATAAGCACCATTCTTTTTTGTATGTGACTCACGGCAAGATCCTCTTTTATAGGTTTCCACTGACCTGTGTGCTGCTTTTTGTAACAAAGGGCCTGTAATTTTCATTCACATGGCAAAGAAATGTGTATTAGTACCTCGTGAGGACACACAGAAGGAATCAAAACATCAGACTTAACACACAGAGAATTGTGGTAATATACACATACTTGCTCTTCCAGTGGTGAGCCTATCATCTCTGCAAATATATTCTCATTCTTACCTAGATATTTTTCAGTCACTTCAAGACAGGAAAAAAACATAAAAACAAATAAAATGTCAAACATAGGGAGAAGAAAGTGCAAATATTTTGGCGCCACTTTGTTTTTCTTTTCCATTTTTTTTCTGTTCATTTACAAAACTCAGGAACTTCTTAATTTTTCTGCTCCATCTGTCTCTGTCCTGTCAGCAAGCGTGCAGATGCCTTCCCTCTGTGCCCTCTGCTCTCATCTCAGCTTCTTGATCCTTCTCTTCTCACACCAGACGTCCTACTGGAAACATGTGCAGGAAGAAGAAGACAAAAGAAATCATTTAATAATGAAAGTGTAGGAAGTAGAGATTTGTTACTACAGATGTGGGCTGTGTTTCTGAGTACAATTAATGCAAACCCTTCAGTGCGCAAACACGTAACAATGCTCTTTGTGCTTTTTTTGAACATGTGAAAGTCTCTGAATGACCATGTGGAAAGCAGATTTGTCCTCAGATTTTCCAAACAAAGCAGATTTTTAGTTTAATTTAATCTGTTACAGAATTCATTTTATTTTAATTTGTCAAACTTTAATTATATCTCTATATTACAGACATCACCAGCATACTGTCTGCTCTCCATCTTTTTGTTTTTTAAGGTAATTAAACTACACGAGTAATATGTACTGACTCAAAATGTTATCTAGAACAGTAACATCAAATTTCCTGCAATTATGTTAATGCCAAGCAAAATCTGTAAAGTTGTACTGTTTTGCAGTTGCATGGGACGGTGAACTGAACTGCGCATGCTGCTCACTCATCAATCAGATGTGTGGGTGTATATGTTCAGGGGCAAAAAGGGAGTAGAAGAGAAAGATAAAGAAGGAAAGAAAGAAGAACAGGCCTGGGAGAAAAGCAGATGGGTCAAGAGCTTAGATTGCTTGCAGATGGCTGTCAGAATAGAGCCGAGGCCCTCCTGTTAGAGCTCAGGCTGTGTTTCAAGCCGTGTGCCTGGGTGTTCACTTTTATATGCAAGCATTTCTATGCTGAGATAAGTTTGGTTTAAATTTAGTGCATTAATAATTGATTAATGCACTAAATTTAAATATAATTGATAAATTGTATTTCTGTGTATAGGTAAATTCTTTTTTTCTGCATATTTTCTGTGCAGTGTTTGCTTGTATGTGTAGACTTTACTGGCCCGCATGAGGTGTTCAAAAGAGCAGCCTGGGGGTGGGGAGCTGCAGGTGCAATATCTGTCAATAAGCTGGATTTCATTTTTAGCTACGAAAAAGAAGCCCAGCTGATTTCACTCTAGAGGCTTCTGTAGTCTCAGATGATACATTTACAAGCAATAACTCAGTTCAGACTTTAATGCATCACAATCCTTCCACTGTCCTATAAATCAGCAGTTACATTCCACATGAGCGATCCAGCGGTGGATGTTTTCATCTATACTTTACTATAACTGTGCAAAATAAAATATTATAGCCAACTAATCTTGCCACGAGTCGGTTTAATCTAAGTGACTACTGTTTGCAGTTTTAGCTTTGACACTTTTATGTAAATAAATATTGCTTTAGGTCCTGTATGTGACCAGAACACAATGAATCATCTTACCCAGGTCGTAAAAAATAGTTTCTGTGCTTGAAACAGAAATACCAAAAATCTCTACTGCCTCTTTGCATGGAAGCAATGAGGTTAACGTGATCCCTTGTCAAAAGATAATTTTGATTTCCATTTTTAGTATTTTATATTTGGCAGCATGTCTCTGTTCTGGGACTCCCCCACCCTTCCATGTGCATACATAGAAAGCCAGTTGGAGAGAACAGCAATACCCCAGCACAGAACAAAGCATATACCAGTGACAACAGATATGACTGATTAAGTCAGGCACACCATGTAAAAGAGGTGTTAGGGTATAGGGGGTTTCAAAGGTGCTTGCAGATGTGCAACAACTGTGGACAGTTGCATGTCCAGCTAAGAAATCAGCTATTGTTGGCTGGTAACAAGATCAGATGATCTTCTGGGATTGAAGTTGAGCTTGGCCTTTTTGCCGAGCCTTGAAGTGACTGAGTTCTTAATTAAAGGTTCTGGATATTGAAGGGCTGTCTTGGTTGACACATCTCAGCAACATCACATGAAACTTGAGGACAATGCCTCTGGACTGGCAGACCAGAGTGGCGGTAACCCTTTTTAAGAGGGGGGACCAGAACATGTTCTCTAATTTCAGAGGGTTCCCACTTCTCACCCACCCCAGCAAGGTCTATGACATTGTACTGGAGAGGAAAATCCATCTGTTAGTAAAAGCTCATATTCAGGAGGAAACATGGTGGTTTGCAATACTGGACCAGCTCTTTACTCTCTCAGAGAGAATGGAAGTTTGCCCAATGAGTCTGCATGTTTTTTGTGAACTTGGACAAGGCATTCGACTGCATCTGTTGGAACATCCTTTGGGTGGTGTTCGAGGAGTACAGGTTGACTGGCCAGTAGCTGCAGTTCATTCAGTCCCTGTACAGTGGTAGCGAGAGCTTTATCACCAATTCCTTATAACTTTAATGGATGGAATTTCTAGGTGGAGCCAAGTGTTGGAGGTTCTGCTCTGGTAGCCATCGGCAAACCACTTCTTTGCAGATGATGTGGTTCTCCTGGTCTCATCAACCAGCGACCTTCAACTTGCACTAGGATGGTTTGCCGCTAATTATGTAGTGGTAGGATATGAATCGGGGTGTCCAAGTTTCAGAGTATTGTTCTTATTCAGAAAAGGGTGGAGTGTTAACTCCAGGTCATCGACAAGCTATTCCTTAAGTCGAGGAGTTTAAGTATCTTGGGGTCTTGAGTTCATGAGTGTGGGGAGAGTGAAGTGGGAGAATGACGGCAGATTGGCGTGGTATCTGTAGTGAGGCGGACACTATTGGCTTGAAGACGGAGCTGAGGGTGAAGCTGTCAGTTTACTGGTTAGTCTACGTTCCTACCTTTACGGCCATGGCTATGAGCTTTGGCTAGTAACCAAAAGAATGAGATTGCAGGTGCAAGCAACCACAATGATCTTCCTCATGAGTTGTTGGACTCTCCATAAGGGACCTCAGTGATTCAGGTTGGCTCACAGCGGTGCTGCTACATCTCCACATTGAAAAAGAAGCCAAGTAAAGCCTCCTGGATGTTTCCTGGATGTTGAGTAAGACAAGGTGTCCTGGGAAAGGGAGGTCTAGGTGTAACTATCGCCGTGACCCAAACCTGGGTAAGTGAGGATGGATGAATGAATGGATGGTTTTTCAGACCTAAAATGAAGTATTTGGCTAAAGTTTGGCCTTTCTCACATTAATGGATTTTTAAGTGGTAGTATTCGTTGTCATAAATCCTTTACCTTGGCAACACTAGTGGCATGTTCTACCTGTTGAGGCAGGTCCACAATATTTCCTAAGAGCTTTTTCCACTGAAGTCATGCTGTTCCTCTCTTTAGCTCAGATAAATGTCTCTGCTGTGAGAAGCTGAGCGACAGTTGTGCTGATGAATTGGCTTTGCAATTACGAGGCTCCAGAGGAGCGAATGGTCCTCTCCCTCCTCTCTTCCCAGTCACTAAGGACACTGTCTGTGCCATTAACAACACAAAGCTCTCCGGCCTCTCCCTGGACACCTTGGCCCCACTTCTGATAAAGAGCTGAAAGCAGATCCTGTCTAGCAGTGAATCGCCTGGCCTCACCTGGGACTGACCAATAAAGCCACTTGGCTCAAGAGCTGGGAATCATGGTATACCTGTGCATAATGGCAGCAGGGGGGAAGTCACTTTGTTAAGACGAGAGATACACTGGCTTGAGTTTACGTTTACTAATACGTAAAAACGGCCCATTGAATGACTTTTGTAGCAAATTCCTGAAGCTAATGATATAAAGAAGTAATGCTTTCCTGTCAGTATCCTCTCTGATGACCTCTTTAACATCAGCCCAGAATCCAGAAAGTCAAGCTGATGTCACTGTAATTAAAACACAAGTGGTGTTGGCTCTGAGGGGGCAGGAGTTCTCTAATGGCCCTGTATCCCCAGTGCCAAGGCTGCTCAATAATGCCCTCTTTTCATTCCTGCCAGACGTAGCCAGAACAAACAGGAGAAGAAGACAGGAAAGCACTAAGGGAGACAAGAGGAAGAGAGGAGTTTGACAGAAAACAGAAAAAGCATAATTCTGTGTGCTAGACTGTCTCATCTGTTTTTGTTACTCGTCTCGTCTACATAACAGCACTGAATTATTTATTTGCCTCTGCCAGGTGAAATAAGCTTATGAATACCTCCAGTGATGAGCTCATTAGTTTCCTTCCTAATCTCTGCTTAAAGACTAAAAAAACATATTTATGACCACAGACTTATTTTTAATTAAAGGATTATAATTAACGTAGATGGCGTAAAAAAAGAAATCATATTGGTTTTACTTCTGTAAACAAAATGAAAATAAATCCTTCAGGTTTTGAAACCACCTTCCATCACATTCCCATTATGTGATTCACTCTGGAGTGACTTCAGTTTGCTGTCAATCTGACAATACATGACGTTCTGCATGATGTACAAACCATCACATTTAGAACTTGTTGATTAGCCTGTTTGTTTTAAGTGTTATAGCAAAAATGAGCAAATCCTCATTCACAAAGCTCGTGCTATTCTTGACAGCAGGTGATGCATACTGCAAACTAAGGCCTCTGTAGTCACTCTCACTAGATCCTTAACATCCTTTAACTGTGTATGACCCTATGAGGTGTTTGTGAGCACTCATACATGCACAAGGCCATGTGTTTGCACTTACTGTAAAATGTGTTTACGTATTTCTAAATGGAATTAAGCCTTTCGGGGGGAAAAATAACTTTGTTAACCTTGCTCAACTTGTTTAACAGTGAAACATTCTTGTGTTTTGTTCAGGAGTTATCTGAGCTTCCAGACCTATGGCTTACCAGTTGACTGACTGCAAGAAGAGATTACAGAGAATACAATCATTGGCCTTGGCTTCATCTGTAATGACGTTTCCACTGTCTTCAGAGGATGGATGCCACTCTTTTCAGGAAATATCTTCCAAGGTATTTAGATATTTTTCCTTTGCTTTTGCCAACATGTCAGGAGGGAGAAACCTCATACAGATGAGCTCCACTCTTCCGAAAATGCTTGAAATCCTTCAGCAAAAAGCACACACTGTAAATGGTAAATATATCAAGCAAGAACCCGATGACGATCCGGAGGACAGTGCCTGATAAGATTTAAGGGCTGACAAAGGCAGCTTCACTTAAAACGATCCAGGCCATTAAGGAACAGCTAGGCATACCTGAACACAATGGCTGTCTCTTAGTCAAGACAGTGAACAATGCCATATGTTCTTACAGGCTTTAGCTTCTTTCTGAAGGCTCTCTCCCTCTTCTTTTTTTTTATTTCATACTTCACTTTCTCCACAATCATCAGCAGCTTATAGTGCCTGAGTGGCAGCATTAGGAGCCATATAAAGCTGTCAGGCCATTTACCTCCAGCTCTTAAGCATAAAGGTGATAGATTCAGTGACTGTAGTGAAACAGCTAGACGAGCCTCCTCTGCTCCAGCACAGGGAGGCTGTTTATCCTGGCAGCCATGCCCGGGGTCCAAGAACCCTGACGTTATGCCCGCTCAGAGCCACTGTTCTGCAGGCACCGGAGGGCAGAGCCAGGGTAAACACATGACCTCAGTGTTATGTGGCGTTGAATAGGGCTGGTGGTTAGACTGAGCAGCACCAGTGGGATCAATCACCACTCACTGAGGGGAATCCCGTTAGAGTGATCAAGAGGAGAAGAAGACAGGAAGATGGAAAAGAGCAGCGAGACGGACTAAAAGGTCGATTGATGAGTTGGTCATAATTTATTTGTTGTTGCTGTGACTTACAAAAAAATGTAATTAACTAGTGGGCCAAAGTAATTGTGTGTTGATAACAAATGACACAGGGAATAGCATCGCTAGTACTAGTTTTAACTACACCAGACTGTCACATTGCACATGTACGAATATGTGTTAACGGATTATACAACGAGCCAACTACAGCTCCTGAAGCAAGAAGCAGAGTTAGTGAAAGCGTATTAGTTTGCCTTACTGAACAAATTTGTCCCTTGCCTTGTCCCTTGGTTGCCACTTGTTGTTGAGCTACCTGCAAAAAAGAGAAACTGTGATTAAACCTAATGGGAGTGGATGTCTTCTTTTTGGGTTTGTTGGGTCTTTTTTTTTGGTCATACAGCAAATGTTATATTTTAAGTGCTTAAGGTAATTTGGCTATTAATGGATATTAATGCTTAAAATATAATTTCTTAATATTCAACACCAAGTAAAATTCTACTCTCCACAATTATTTGAACTGCAGCTGCTCTGAGAATCGTCGTTGTTGTTTGGCTTGTTTGACAAATGCTAATAGTCTCTGTTAGGAGCAAACTTATTATTAGTACTTCAGTTTTCCTGCCCAGACTGTGTGTGTCTAGGATTGGTTAATGCATCAGTCTTGTCTAAATATTCATTAGTGTGTGCTGAGTGCATTAGCCTTCTTTGGACTGCGAACTGATTCAACTGTTTGTCACTTGCAGTACAGTTACTTCATCTTTTACTTAAAATTACTGTCTTACTGTGACTGACTTCACATTTTTAAGCTATGAAACCATAATTATGTTTATTAAACTATGTAACAATAATGAAATATTAACAACAGACTAAAGCCATAAAACAGTTGCAGATGAGCTCCTAATGCCAACTGGCATCTCTGTCCAGTTGCTGAAGGAGGCCAGCCATGGTCTTACTGCATGGTTGTGCTGGCACAGCACTCTCAGTCATTTTGATTTCCTAGTTTTCTCCTCAGCTTCCTTCTTCCTCTCTTACCCTCCTTGCTGACGCCCAGGCAGCCTTTCAGCTCCTGCAGGGAAATGGCTCTGTCCTTATTCAGATCACAGTAGTCGGTGAACTTTCGGGCACATTTCTTGGGTTTGGCTTTCTTCTTCAAGTACTTCTTGAAAGGCTTTAGTTCCTTCTTGTTGATGTCTTGACTACCATTGTTATCCAACTGGGCAAAGTACCAGTGCACCACCCTCTCTTCTAAAGTGTGACTGGGGTCAGGCTCCACAAACCTGAGTAGATATAACAGGCAACAGAAACTGAAAACGAAAATCTGATGGAAACTCTTCAAAAAGTAATGTGAGGGCAGAATTACTTTTGGGACATTCACCACATCAATAGCCACAACTTGGTCAAATTTACTGTTAAATTACAGTAAAGTACTAGCAGAGAAGTTTCCAGGACTGGGCTCACACTTTGCAGTGTCTACAGTAATCCACAGCCTCTTACTATTAACAAAAATGATGTGCTGTCTGGTTGCTGTTTTACAGTTATAATTATTTTTAATGTTTCTATTGTACATTCTATAAAAAGTTTATTAGTACAAAATATAACAGGATGTCCTCATCCATGTACCCTGAATTTAATTTCTTGTCTTTGAATTATGGCAAGATAACAACTTTGATGCACTTTCTCTACTTTTTACTTCTCAAAAGTCCATTAAAAGACATACTTCTGTATTCAGCATTTTAACAACCACCCTGAAGATAAAAGCTGGCAGAAAAACACAGAACACTTATCACCAAAGAAAAATATAATGTGTTATGCCAGAAAAATGTAAAGTAGATAACAGTTGATATTTCCTTAAAGGCATTTACAGTATTTAACTATATGGACACTGTTATTCCAAAATATCATTCAGATCCATCATACACACATCTTTAGCACCGATGCATAGTAATTCCTGAAGTCTAGTGTCCAGATCTTCACATTGTGTGTCATAGAAATACTCTGCGTTTGCAATTCATGAAACCAAAAGGAAACAAAGTTTTCCACGAACAATCAGCCAATATGTCAGTCTTCTGTGGTATGTGACGCTACTTACCTCCCACCACCAGAGGGGGCTGGTGAGTTTATGGCTTGCACCATGTCTGTGGTGAGGGCATCTAACAAGCTTGTAATGAATTCCACTTTCTTGCCCTCAGGGCAGCCTGGTGCAAATAAAAGACAAAAATACACCAAAATTACCTACCACAACTAATTTGAGCCATTAGGCCGCAATGAAGAGCCTCTAAACCTTCAACACCAGTGAACCACTGTGACAGATGTCAAATAGAAAACGCCTGTTACACCGTCAAAGCAAACCTTATATAGAGCTTAGTGACCAAGTAAATCTGTTAAAAGTGACCAGGTGAAAAACATGAACATATGAATGTATGCTTTAACAGAGGTGAAATACATTGTTTGGCTGTTTTGTTAGACTTCAAAAACACAGAGCTGAGGCACATGGGTGAGGTGGGGCAGAAGTGTGCTGTGATGAGAGAGCTTTCTTGAGCAGTGCAGACCTGTTAACTTTTATGGCACAATTTTGAACACCTTGGGTAGCTCTTTTTAATTGCCCAGATGTATTTTAAAAGCACACAAAACCCGTGCAAAATTTTCCCTCCTAATTGTGTCTCTTAAAGGGAAACTTCAAACGCAGCTGCACTGTAAACTAATCTTCCTATTCTGCCTTTTTTTTCAGTCTCTTCTTTTTTCTCTCGAGCTCTCTCTGTAGATCCCCTCCTCCCCCTTTCTCTGAGGATTTGTGGCCTCCTCGTCCTCTGCGCCATTCACGTCTTTTCTTTCCTTTTGTGTTAGCTCAGGACGGTCTGTGGGAGGCGGGTTGATGCCCCGCCAGGTGAATCCAATTAGCATTTCCTACAGCATGACAAGCTTGAAGAATCTCTACCTCGCTGTGCTTTAATCCAAGTGTTAAATTGGGGTGTTATGAAGCGCAAACTGTTAGGTTGTATGTAGCTTATGAGGCAAGGTGGTTCAGGATGTCTGCCAGCATAAAAGAAGCTGCGGTCACATGAAAGCTGCCACAAAGATGATAGTTGCAGGTGTAAACATAAAGAAGGGCATTTACCCTTGAGAGACTCCAAATGAGACACACACACACACACACACACACACACACACCCCCCCCTCTCTTAACACCTAAAATGAAGTTAAATACTGGTGGGTGTTGAACAATATATGCAGCAATACTGGTATATCTGTGACAGGCCAGCTGATAAAGTCAGGCTTTACCTACAGAGCAGACACTGTAAATACTGCATTGTTGGCATATGTATGTGAATGTGTTCAACCTTTCAATTTAAAGGCATTTTCTGATTCATGAAAAGTGTAATTTCTCTTTACTGTTTGGTGGACTTTACCATTATCACATTACAAATTGCATTGTCCTAAACAATTCTATTCAAAGTATAGCCACAGGCAACTAAGGCTTTACTTTACTACAGTTGAACTTAATGGATCTCATCCTTTGGTCTCAGAGGAAGAGCTGTTATATGCTCAAAAGGACAGAGGCAATATTGTTACTATGTGTAGTTGGTGAGGCTGAACCTGTAGCCAAATGCTGTTAAGCCTCACCTCTTAAGCATTCTTTTTTCACTATTGCCTTGATGTGACAGCCATGAAATATCATGCTTTGTTGTGGCGGTTCAGAACATCCCTCTACAGTACATAAAAATATCTACACTCGGCTCCCTGCAGTATCCAACACCACCAGCAGCCCCCCCACATGCCTTGCCACCACACCCCACAACACTAACACCTTCCATAAAACATACCACACATCTGCTGCACAGTCAGGAGTATGCTTGACTCTGTAAACTCACCAGATGGGGAATTAAACAAGAGTTACAATGCAGCCTTAAATGATGGGGAAACAGAGGGGCAACAAAAGTAAGTGAGCAGTAACAAGGGCAAAGGAGTATGAGCCTATGTTATGACCTCTGGCTCAGGGGGCAGTCTGAGTCATGCATACTTAAAACTTTCCAGGTTACATTCTTTAACATGGATTTAAAAGCAGAATTCATGTGGATTATTATGTAGGACCTGGGCTTTTTTTCTTTTTTTTTTTGCAACAGCCACAAACAGGTATACATTGACAAACCACATCTCTGTGTATATATACTATTTTTCAGTTGTTATTTGCTTATATCATTCATCTAAATAGCTATAAAGAGCTTTTTTCCCATTATATTTTGGTATAAGTTTCTCTGTTTTGGCAATATTGACTTTAAAAGTTCTCCTGAATATGACGCGCCTTTCTTGTGGTGCTCAAAGTGCCAAAAAATAAATTAAAAAAACTTAAGCAGCAATCTCTCTTTCAAGCAAAGAGACATTGTTGTGAACAGATTCATGTAAAAATCATTTTCTTTCTACCAAACCACACTTGCCAATCCCTTCATGCTACAGAAGCTTCCATTTACCCATGACAAGCAGCCAGTCCCGGTGAGAGGGTGTAAACATTGATGCTTTCCCCCTCAGCTAAGCTGTGTTGTTGGCTAGAAGCTAGTGTTTTGATATTAAAGTCCACTGACAGTTATTATTTGGAAAGCAAGTTTAATCTCTAAAGCAGCTATAAAAATTCTACCAGATAATAAATGGAAAGTTTCTGTACTCCCACACCCAAATTGGACTGAACTGCAGTGAAAAAGTGAAGTGACCTTGCAGTTCTCTGCCTTGGAATGCTTCTTCTGTGTCCGAGACTCGAGATCGTGCAGCTCCATCGCACTCAGGCGTCTGGTACCTGTTACAAAGAGGCAAGCACATGGCTGCATTAGATAGAAGCCAAAGAGGAAAAGCGTAAATCTGTCTTAGCAAAGTGTGAAAAATTGGAGACATCAAAGGAGTTGATTTTGAAAGATTTGAACAGCTAGAGAAGGGGAAAAAAAATCATGACCTGAAACTAAAACCGAACCAAACTAAACAAAAAAACCACTACAATCCAATTAGTCTTCAATGATCTCATTTGCAACATGTAACAAATGATTCAAATTCGGACTTCTTAAAATTACAACCTCTTGCTCTCGTCTTTGATCTGTATGCTCTCCCTTCATCTCAGTTGACCGTGATTAACCTTTCTTTATAGCTTGATAAATAAATTAGATTTGAAGTGCACAGAGCTTTTTTTTTTCTTTTTTTTTTCTTTCAAAGCCATAACAAACTGTTCAGCATTACGCGTGGCATGACTCGTTTTCTCCTGGCTATTATATCAGTGGTTCGTGGATACGATGGAAAATGGAGCACATGTGTTTGATTTGTCTTTCTTTTTTTTTTTAAGCAAAAGCAAGTTATCAACTCTATATTTTTTTACACAGTCTGCACAGCCACTGATCCAAGATGGGGATATCTGATGGATGACTCTGCACATTGCTGTTTGGAGAAGAGAAACTGGGATGCATGACATGAGTTCTAGTCCAAGTGTATTTTTATGTGAAGGAATAATCACCTCAGGGTTTTCATAAAAGAGCTCTGAAATGCGGATCAGAATTTGCTCTGTCTAAAGTTTCCTGTTGTGCAAGTGATTTATCCTAGGGTGTCAAAAAATAAATAAATAAGCCTTCTGGTATCTTATTGATTTGAAACTAAACTTGAGCTATTGTCTATTCAAACAGAAGACCATATCTTCAAATTTGAAAAATGTCTTTACTTCAGCTTGTAAAGCATTAAGCCTCTTGGAGAGAGAGAATAATGATTCCTTTTCAGGAACAAAATCAGTTCCTTTCTTCACCAGTGCATGCTTATAGTCCACGCTTTGTCTTTGTCTCGCCACTTGTTTGAAGTTGTAATATTCATCTTCTGATTACAAATCGCGAAAACATTTTACAGAAACAAAACATGAGCAGTGAACAATCATTTTTTTCGAACGTGTTTTTAATTCAGAGATCCCCCAACATGAAGCTTGTGCACAAAAAATACTGTGCTTTCCTCAAAGCAATGTAAACAGTAGCAACTGCACTAAAAACAAAGTCATTCCAGAAACAGAGTGTTTATAGCTTGCTAACCAAAATTCACATCATCTTGGAACTAATTGCTTTGGCAAGTGAACTGGCAAGAGAGCTTTGATCGGAAACGTTTTGGATAATATAACTGACCAGTCTGTCAGTGGGTCCACCACTTTAGTCTGACTTACAACAGAAAGGTGTGTTATTCTTCAGCTTTTCCTTTGTTGATCCAAGTGAATTATTTGGGGGGATTGATTGCCTCAAATTTTGGAACCAATATGTGCTTTTCAGGAATGGATTCCAAGATTGATGATTATGACTCCATAATCATTGATTCTCAGATGCCCTTAAATTAACTACTGTAGAGCACTCCTGTTTAAAATTAGACTGATTATTGTTTTTGACACATTTCACTAGTCCTGTTATTAGCATGTCAGTTATTCATATGATGGCAGACAGACATGCATATCAAATCATTTAAAAACATCTGTAACTACTATAATAAATGATGTTGTTTCTTTATGTGATTTTTCTGATAATCTTACCTGGTAGAGGTTCCAGGAATGGGGCGTCCCGTGTCCACCAGAACACACCAACAGTAGCCTGTGGATTGGTGGCACTGGACGGCCTTGTAAAGGCCTCCAGGCCCACAGTCGGGGATGAAAATGGCCTCACGAGGATTCTGCAGAGCCTCTTCCAGAGCACTCTGTCTCTCCTGGTCACAAGAGGGAACTTTCTCTAAAAGTATTAGAAACACACTCAGTACAGGAAAAAACCAGATTTGGGAAACCAAATACAGACAGCACATATACAAAAAATTACTACTACTAAATTAAAATGTGAAATATGTGGAACAGGGTTCTGGGAGTGTTCACTGCAAACCAGATGTTGGCCTCTGGTAACATTTTATGTGGCCTGTGAGCACAAAAAGGGAAAAAATCCATTAATGTGCATTTTATTCAGGACATAAATGACAATTAACAACATAAATCCTTATGTCCTGACCAGGCAATTTATAAATACAAACCAAAAGTTTTGATGTGGGCATTTTCCAGTGAGTCATGTACTGGCTGTACAAAGAATCAGTCACACAGGGCCTAGAGACCTGTAGCCATCTCGTAACTACCGGTCATGAGGAAAATTTGTATTCTCCAACAGGTTGCAAATGGTTGCTGAGAGTTGCTATGAAATTGATTGCTGTTCTGTTAACTCAGGTCTAGAAACGAGTCGGTGATTCCCACGGTAATCATCAGTCACTAAGGAAAAGTGTGTACTCCATGAGCAGTTGGCAAGGGGTTGCTAGAGGCTGCTGGAGGTCACTAACAGGTTGCTGTGGTCATTTGTAGTTTGGATGGAAAATGCTGACTTGTCTGCAAATATTCAACTTTTACTTTGAAGTCTGTTTCGGGTTTGCATTGCACTTTTTCCAAGTTTCACTACACCTTCAAGAATAAATGACATGTGTTTCAAGAGAAGTCAACATCGTCCATGCAAACTATAAGCAATCACAACAATTGTAAAGCCAGCAACCTCAAGCAATAACTTACCTACCAGTCGCAGACACACTTTTTTTTCGCAACCTGTGGTTATCAGGGTGTCACTGACAGGTTCCCTCGGAGACTCAGACCTGAATCAATGCCATTTTCACATGTGTGGTGACATATGTTGGGTGAGTGCGCCCTGCCCCTTTCTTGAATTCAGCTGCCATCCGGTTCTCCTGAGAATCAGCCACCTGACAGTATAAAAGCTAGGGAAGAGCTGCTTGGTCAGTATGCATTAGGACCAGCCTTGAGAGTATTGAGCTACAGTGGTGTCTTGTCTGAGCTGTAACTGAGAGTTCATCTGGGGGTCATAGCAGTAGATATTACCGGACAGAGGTTTATGTAAAAAAGTAAATGTTCCATTCAGTCCTTTGTTCTCCCAGCACCTTTGTGCAAAGTCCTTGTGAGCCCATGTTAAAATACTGCACAGCAAGCATGTGGATGCCAGGCAAAACTCCCTCCAAGCATGTTCCAGGGACGCAATTGTCACTGTTTAGTAACAACATTGGGTTACGGAATGATAGTCACATTCTTAACTGCAGATTTTTAAAAAAAAATCAAATAGGTCTTTTGTTAAATCACCAATTTTTGACCACCCCAAAAGTAATGCCTTTAGCAGCAAAGTTAAATTATGGCTTTACCCACCGCAGTCTTACATGTTTCTGCTCAAAAACAGGCCTCAACCCTTGAGAGATGCTCCTGCAGCACCTTGTCTCAGTGCACATCAGTGGATGAAGAATGTATTTATATTCACATCCATTTAATCCATTGCTCACTCTTAAGCCACGTCCAACAGAGCCGCCTGCTGAGATGGTTACCAAGGTGATTAAGTGTGCTTTGGTCGCTGCAAATCCATTCTTCATTTTACATTCAAGCACGCTATGATGAAGCCTTAAGCAACAATAACAGAGCCACAGTGACTTTTCTTCAAGGTGGTGACATGTGGTGGTGTTTTCACATTAAGGGGCTGACTAGTGCCAAGACAGTGCCTGCAGTCTTAGCTTACTCAGCTTTTGCTACCAAAGAATAACAGCTGTATCACACAGCCCCTGCCTATTTCAGATCAGCATCAGAGGAGTTGAGCAGTGAAAACAGAAATTAGATTTCTGGTCTTTACATAATTTAAGACCATCCAATAAAAAGCGGGTTGTATTCAAGCCCTTTACGTTAGCAGCCACAATAGCAAATCAGTAGTTGTGAGCACTGCTCTGGGCTTTTCAGAATCTGTTGGTGTTGATTTAAACATGTAGACATGGTGAAGTTGACCTCCTTAAGCCCAAACCAAGCATCAGAATAGAGAAGAAAGGTTATGTGAAATGTGAATGTTTGTGCATGATTGTTGGTGCCAGACAGGCTGCTCTCAGCATTTCAGATCTACTGGGATTTTCCCACACAACCAACCAGAAAATGCCTTGTTAATATTAGAGGTTAAAGGTGAATACCCAACCTGGTTCAAAATGATGGGACGGAAACAGTAACTCAAATAATGACTTGTCACAACAAAAGTATGGAGAAGAACATCTCTGAACACGCAACACATTGAACCTTTTAGTAGATTGGATACTACACAGGCTACCCACAAATCTAAAAAAAAAGAAGATTGAAAAAAAATTGATGAGTATTGCTTTCAGCTGACCGTCATCTAAAATCCACAGACTTCCTGATTATTGCAGTTAACCATGACCATACCTTTTGTGAACACTCCAATCATTTCTTGGTTTCTTGTACCTCAATGGCCTCCACAGTCACCAGAGCTCATTCCAATAGAGCAACCTTGGGGTTTTAGTGGATCAGGATGTGGTACGAATCATGCCAATATGGACCAAAATCTCTGAGTAACGTCCCCAGCAACTTGTACAATCAACATTAAAAACAATGACAGCAGTACTGAAGGCTTTAAAAGGTCCAACCCATTACTAAGAAGTTGTACCTTACAGTATTGACAATAGCTTTGAAGTTTTTAAATTAGACACATAATACCTTGTGTAACTCTTTTCTACATGGTTATAGACTCCCTCTCCTCTTTCCTACACCTGTATTTCCTACACCTGTATTTCAAAAGCAAATATAATAATACTATCATGGTCTTTTTTTTCAAATTCACAATAACACAGAAACCAGTGTTCTGGAGCTTTAGCAGGAAATAATAATAAAAATCACAGTGCTGATTTAAAGGCTGACATTTAAATCATGATGCTGTGCTTAGAGTACAGAATATTATTGTCTGTTACAATGGCTGCCGTATCCATTTAGTCATAAAAACTTGTCTTTTTATGACTGAGACACAGGACATATCTACACTGGTCCATGATCAATCATGGCTGCCATCTTTCACGAGATGCCTGATGTCACTGGATGGAAGTTCAGGAAAAGAGTGTAAACGGCCAATGGTAACCAGATAGTATTACGATGCTGGCTGTCTTGTGTTTAATAGTTCCACCTAGCTACTCCAGCAACATTATTCATCTTTTGCTTTGCTTTGTTTCCAGTTTTGCAAAGCTGAGCAGGGGAAAAAGTCTAAACAGCTGGTGGAGCACTCTGTACTCACGTCAGTCAACTTTACAGAAGTGGCAGAATTGTTTTGAGTCTTCCACAATTTTTCCAAGATGCAAGTCTTTCTGTGACACTGACTGACTGACTGCTGTACACGATGCTCACTTTCATCCCCAGCTTAAACAAGTGCCCTGCTTTGTCCGCATCAGGCAATAATCAAGCTGATATCATGAATTTGAACCCCGCAAAACTGAGCTGCTCTTTATAGGTGGCGTTTTGAGAACACTGGGTCATGAAAAACCTAGCATGTCATTACTTCTGTTTCTTTTTGTTTTGGCAGTGACTGTGTGCAAACCACAATACTCTCTTATCGCGATCCATGGTGAAGTTAATAAAGATGGAGATGACGGTGGTGGCGGGTTCAGCAGAAGGCCTGAGACCTAGCTGAGGAGAGTGGGAGGTGGGGAGGTCAGATTTCCTGAGCGTGGCTGCCAGCACAGAGCTAAACGTGTCCTTGCACTAAAGAACATTTTTTGTCCTGTAAGGACTCATACTCAAGTGTTCTTAGTGCTGTCCTCGCCAAGGTTCCTTCACATCCAAATTATTTAGCACTGTTTATTATACAGAGGTTATGCTGGCGCCAGGCACTAGGATTCCCAAAAGAAAATTGTTTTTGTACATATAAATGGAAAAAGGCTGGATGCTTGCAATGTAATCCTTTCAGTTTTGTGCGGACATGAAATTCAATCAACGTCGTCCAGGCCTGCCTTGGATATCTGCATTTCTGCTCTATTTATTTTTTGTTTTTGTTTCTTTTTCAATTTTATTTCCCTTCCTTCGACAGGAACTGAAAGACAAGAAACACAAAACCCTCAGAAAACAAATATTGTAGTTTGGGGGAAAAAAATGAAACCCACACAAGTGGAAGTCAGGAACAGTCGTAACAATGTGATCATTGTTGTTGTGATTTTCTTCAGGGCAAATTGATAATGAACAAAAGATGGCTGTCTGCAGTATCTTTGATAACACGTTTGCCCCATTTTAAACGTCTCACTTTGGCCATTGTTACTGAGGCTCCAGCCTTAGCAAAATAATTTTTAATCTCCTTTTTTTCTTTATTCCTATGCTTGTTGTGACCACCCTCACTTTCTCAGTCCTTTCCTCCACTCCTCTACATCGTTTTCTTTCTTTTTCTTTTACTCTGCTTCCCTCCATCCTAATTCCTCCGTCTTTAAACCTGCTCTCCCCCCTCCGATTGCTCTCTTTTTCAGTTCACTTCAATGGCTTTCAGCTGTTGGGTAATCACTGCAACATTGTCTGCCTTCTCTGCAGTTAAGATGGCAGAAATGTTAGTAATAGAGGAACTCTGTGAGGATGTATATAGGTGCATGTGTTTGTCTTTACAACACAACAAAAGGATTGAGATGATAGAGACTCATTAAAAAGATGGTGTAACTTTTGAACACATCAACCGAACAGCCTGTTGCTGTGCACACTTATTGCCCTTTAAAGTTAAACAAGTGCATCCTGCCCTCATGCATGACATGTAAATGGGATTACAAGAAACAAAAGTCTTTTTAAGACTGCAAATGTTTAAACAAAATCGTGCTCATTAATGACATGATTGCATTATATCCCTTCAGCATATTTGTTTTTCTTTTGTTTGCTTCACCACAAGAGAGGAGTGGTGGTTTGTAAGTTTCTGCTTCTCTGTACACTTTTAAAAATGAGCTGCATGACAGAGCGCTTTCCCTCTGCTTGCAACATTTGATCAACAGCACGTCAAAGTCTGGCAACACAGCATCTGTTTGAAAAATGGACCTTGCTTTGCTTTGCCTAAGCAAACACATTTCACTAGCACAATCTCCACATCGCTCTAAATCAGAATTATTGAGTGTCCAGAGACAAAGCCTGTAAATGAATAACGCAGTTTATGTGCGTGCGGGATGTCTGCTCCATTGGGACTCGGGTTATTCCACTTTGTATTTAAAGACAGGAAGGTTTAAATAAGGATTGTTATGCCAAATCTTCTCTGCTTAGAAATGATTTTATCCAGAAGTTAATAAAGCAGTTTGTCAGTATAAGGAGCCCTGCCAGCCTCTGCCCTTGTCCTAGAGTCAAGTGGAGAAATTGCCTGGTGGTTAGAGAGATTTATTCGCTCTTCCCTTTCGCGTGCTGAATTGCCCGAGTGAGTGAGTGTATGTGTATGAATATAATACAACAATATAACACCTTCCTAGTACCCATTTGGACAGCTTTTGCCTTTTGAACTGCTTTGATTATTTTTAATTTATTTTTGATGTGTGCTGACTGGACAGCGTCACAAAGTTGCTCCAGATTTGTGACCTGCCCATCCATGATGTGTATCTCCTGTTCCACCATATGGAGTTGCTCTATTAGAATGACATCTGGTGACCGTGGAGGCCATTTTGAGTACAATGGACTCACTGTCATGTTCAAGAGACCAGTCTGAGATCATTTGATGTTTGCGACATGGTGTGTTATCTTGCTGGTGGCAGCTTTTGAAGATTAATAAACTGTGGTCATAAAGTTAGGCTGTGGCAATTAAATGATCAGTTTGTACTAACGGGCCCCAAGTGTCTCAAGAAAATACTCCCCCACACCATCACACCATCGCTACCACCCTGAAATGCTGATACAAGGCAGGATGGATCCATACTTTCACGTCTAGAATCATTACTTGACAGAAATGGCATCCAGTGTGGTCTTTTGCTGCTGTAGTCCCTCTGCTTCAAAGACTGATGTATTGTTTGTCCAGAGATGCTCTTTTGCATGCCTTGGTTGTCAGACTGTTTGAACTGATATGACTGCAACAGTAACTCAACGCAGCAGGCCAATGTCATTGCTTCAGGTTGTTTTTGCCAGTTCTACATGGCTAAATACACTAACTTGATTGGCTGATTAGATATTTGGATTAACAAGCAGTAGAACAGAATGGCCAGTTAGTGTGTATTTGTGCACATGATACAATATGTGATTGGTTACAACTTGAATTCTCAAGATTGTGGCCTTGAATGTTAATATTTATCGTATTTATAGTATTTTAAAGGTTTACTGTTCATTTTTTTTCTTGGTTAAATGATTATAAAAATTGCAAAATTGCTAGAAACTTCTAAAGACAGAATGGATCCATGAATGAAGTATGAGAAAGGGCAGTTTTTGCAGTGAAAAATAATTGGGTTTTAAATCTTTTTAGGGTTTTAATGTTTTCAAAACATGTTAAAAAGGAAGAAGGCACAGCATCAGGGATATTAACAAAAGACAAACAATGGACTTTTTTTTACTAACCAATCAGAAGACACGCTGTAATTGCGTATGCTGGAGCTAACAAATTACAAATTAGTTATTTAATTTATTGATTTCTTTCTTGAGTTATTGCATTCACAAGATTTTCAGAAGACTTGACCTCTGACCTTAACCTTCAGGTTGACGCTACTGCAATTCAAACCCATATGAGATTTTTAGTAGATACACCTTTGGCATCAATTTGAAACCCTTATATCGCCTTGTTCTCCAGTTACAGCATTGACAAACTTGGGCGTCAACACCACCCACACCTCCAGCTAATGACAACGGCCCGAGAGCCTTTTATGGCTGATGGGTAAAAGTGATAAATGTGTTTTTGTTCCTTTGTTGCCACAAAGTCTTGTAGCTAAAAGAATTTGTGACTGAGGGACGATCTCTACATTGTTGAGGTATTTTTTTCCTGTTTTTTTTTTGGGGGGGGGGGAGGAGTTTGCAGATAAAATGCACATGCAAAATGTGACCTCTGCCTTAAAAAGTACCAGCAAACAATGCTACAGCTGCCACTGTTAATGGAAGAGATGCTATCGGTACCAACCTGCTATGCAATGAGGTAAAGTCACTACATTTAGAAGTCCTGCCCTCTCATGTTAAGTTTATTTCACCCCTAAACTGAGAGTAGCTTTTTCACTTATTGTAATATTACTAATACTTAAAGTAAAATATACTTATTTTACTTTATTGTATTTATTTCAGATTAGTTTTTACCTAATTAATTTTTCATACTGTATTATATGTAAGTTACATGCCCTTCTACATATTTCATATATGTTTGTTGTTAACTTTGAACCACTATAACAAAGGAGTTTTCCCACCAAAACAAAATATATCTTACCTCTTCTTTTTTTTTATCTGAAATGTACAGTATTTCAGATAATCAACATGTGAAAATAATTGTGAATGCTGGAATCTCAAAGTACAATAAAAAGTTATTTTTTTAAATAGGTAACATTGTAACATAAGAAATGATTTATATTGTGGATATTTTGTAACGTAACAAGTACTCTTAAAAGTAACATTACCCAGCACTGGTAACTAGCTCATTAAATGAAAGAATTACAAAAGAGCCAGTGCACTTAAGAATGTAAGCAGAAGAAGTGTACTGGTACAAGTTTTCAAGAACAAGGATGATGTGCAAAACTGTTGTTGCTACAGAGGCATAACGCTGAAGCTAGGTTAAGATGAGAATTCATGAGTATTGGTGAAAAAGAGAAGTATAAGTATAAAGAAGGTCAAAAGGAGTTACACAGTGTTCTTGCTGATCTAGAGAAAGCATATGATGCCAAGAGAATGGCAGAGAGGGTGGTGCTGGACATGTACTGCTGGACAGTAAGACAGCGGTGAGGTGTGGGGTGGGAATGACAGATGGGTTCAGAGTGGGGATGGGATTACACTGGAGATGACACTGCCTGACAGATGAGGTCAGGCAGGAATTTCCTTGACTATGATGTTATGATCTGTGGTGAGAGTAGGGAGCAGATGGAAGAGAGCCTGGAGAGGTGGAGGTATTCTCTGGAGAGAAGAGGAATGAAAGAAAGACAGGATACATGTGTGTGACTGAGAGGGAAACGGGTGGAAAAGTGAAGGAGACAATTTTAAATACCCGGGGTTAACCATCCAAAGCAACGGACACTGCACAAGAGTGGTGAAGAAGAGAGTGCAGGTGGGTGGGTGGAGAAGAGTGGAGGGGGTGATTTGTGATAGAAGGATAGCATGAAGTGTAAAAGGGAAGGTTTACAAGATGGTAGTGAGACCTGCTATGATGTATTTTTTGGAGATGGCGGCACTGACAAAAAGACAGGCAGAGCTGGAGAGGGCAGAGCTAAATATACGGGATGGACAAGATTAGAGAAGACAGACAAACTTAGCGAGGAACAGTTGAGATGGTTTGGATATGTGCAGACAGGAGGGATGGTGGATATATTGGACAAAGGATGTTTAATATGGAGCTGCCAGGCAGGAGGAAACCAGGAAGGCCCCCGGGGAAGAGATTCATGGATAAAATGAAGGAGGATATGAAAAGGGCTGGTGTGGCAGAGGAGGATGGTTGGGATAGAATGAGATGGAAGCAGACGATCAGCTGTGGTGACCCCTAACGAGAGCAGCCAAAAGAAGAAGAGGTTTAAGTACGCTTCCTCCAGTAACTGTTATTTGCTTTCCAACTTTAAATTAGGCACAGGCTCACAATCTCCTTTGACAACACACACAAACACACACGCGGTTTGCAATCACATGCAGATGTAGACACACACACACATCGCTCATGCCTCAAATGTGATGACATCTCCCCCTCACTCGGCCTTGTCGCTTGTCCTTTGAGGACACCGGATGCTAATTTGAAACAGGAAGCTGGTGTTTCCACAGAAGTTTCAAAGAGCTGTCACAGCGAATACACCCCTCAATGCTGGCCACAGTTTCCCCTGCCACATCACCATCGTTCATAATCCCAGGAAACCCCAATGTACAATCAAGTATTTGTATGCCTCATTGTTTGCAGCGTAGCATGTAAAATCAGATTTTGTGGTAAATGGCAGACAAAAAGGTTT